TGCCGCTGGACGATGACCTGGACTGCGTCCAGCGGGACAAGATCTACGTCTTCTAGGGGGCCGCAGCCGCTCGCTGCCCTGGGACTGTGCCAAACGCCCGGCCGCAGGCCCTGGGAGGGGAGACCCGCTGGGGCGGCGCGTGCCCCTGGGGAGGGACGCCCGTGCTGTGGGTCCTGCAAGCCACTCCATCCCCCTCCCTGCGCAGCCCGGGGGTCTCGGTGCGCCTCCTCCCCGCCGGCCGGGTCCCTCCCTGGTGCTGCGTGCCTGTTCCCGGGCTCCTCGTAGCCGAAAACGGGGATGGGGGGGCCGCCGGGGCACCCGTCCTCGGTGGCAAGTGACACTGGAAAAGGTGCTGCTGCTGCTGCTCCGTGCCCGTGCACCCGTGGGCGCGGTGTGGGGGGCCGGGGCAAGTGCCGTGCCAGCAGTCCCGTGGCCCCCCGAGCACATGGGTGCGGGTCTCTCTTCAGTGCCTGAGTTGTATGGGTGGGAGGTGGGGGTGCGTGTGTCCGTGGTGGTGGCGGCGATGGCGGTGGCCGGAGAGGCCCCCCCTCGCATCTCCTTCAGCGTCCCAGGAGGGGGGTCGGACGTTTGTGCCTCCCGTCGCCGCTCCCCACCAAGGCTGGTGCTCTCCACGCGTGGGTCTGCTGGGAAGGGACTCGCATTAAAGTGTCTGCACTTTGCCCGCGCCTGCCACCTCCTGCCTGGGCAGCGGGAGCCTGGGGGGGCACTGGGGGTCCCCGAGGGTCCCCAGGGGGCAGCGGGGGTGGCGGGCTCTGCCCCGCTGGGCTGCCGCCGGGTGTCAGCCACGCTCTGCTGCAGCGCCAGCTCCTCCTTCCCACCGGGACTTCGGGAGAAGAAGCAGCGCTGCTGCTGCTGCTCTTCTGCCCCGGAGACCCCCTGTGCAGCACGGGGGCTGCAGGGGTGAGGTCTGTGGGGCGCGTGGGGGCCGTCAGCCCCAGGGGGGGTTAGGGATGCCCAGGGAGGTCCCACTTCACGGGCAGCAAGGGTCCTGGGAGGCTGGGGCTCCCTTTGGCGTCCCAGCCCAGTGCCAGCGCTGCTGCATGCCTCGCTGTGCCCTGGCCCACCCGAGCGGGCTGGTGCCCGGCTGGGGCAGCGCGAATCCCGGGGATGGCTGTGGGAAGCCCGGGCACGATGCCCGCAGGATGCCCGCGGCCTCGCTGCTCTGCCTTGGCCAGCCCCGACCAGGGCACTCCGTGGGCTGTGCGTGCCGCCCAGGCGGCCGTGCCCCCGCAGCAGCCCCACAGCCCTGTGGGAAGCCCCGCTCGGCCGCCCCGGCAGTGAGCACACGGGGAAACCAGCCATGAAGTCAGGGCAGAAACCCTCGGCAGCTCTTGCGTCCAGCCGAACGCCTGGCTATAAAAGGACTTACTCCATCAGCCTCCGGCCCTGCTTCCTCCCTGCCCCCAAATCCGCCGGGGAGGAGGCAA